CTGCCCTCTCCAGAACAGCTCAAAATCCACCGCCACCCCCTGAAGTCCCACAGCCTGTACCGCTGTCGGGCAGGGCGCTCCCGCACTGCTTCTGACCGCCTGCCTGGGGCCACATGGCAGGCAAACCAGCCAACCCCTCAGGCCTGCCACAGAGTGAGCGGTTAGGACACACAGGCCAGCACAGGGTGTCCCCCACACCCGGGCCAAGGGAGTCCCAGACCAAGGTCAACGCAGCCCCTGTGGCCTCTGCTTCCCCCACACTCCTGGGAGAGGCCGGGCTCGGCCCTTCCACACCGGAGGCTCAGGCCCTGGGCATCGGTGGCTTTTCATGTCCCCCGCTGCTCAGAGTGGCCACGTGAGGCCCAGCCCACACACCTGGAGGAGCTCACACGGGGTCCCTGCCCCACCGTGGGTGGCGCTCAGGCTGCTCTCATTCCCAGCAGGTGGCCCCAGGGCCCGCGAAGGCAACAGTGGCTGCGGAGAAGACAGGTCCCGTGAGGGGGCCCAGGGCCCAGCGGGCGGGCTGATCTGGAGGGGCCAGCGTCACGCATCTCCTGCCAGGCCCAGCTGTGGCGGACTCCCCACGGCAGCCATCGGCTTCACAGTGGGAAGGGTGCAGAAAACAGACGCCACCCCAGAGCACGAGGCTGACACGGGGTGGGGAGAAGCTGGGATCAGCTTTCCCCATGAGCCCCTTCTCTCCAGGGGACGCGAGGGAGACAGTCACAGAGCCCAGAGAGGGGCACATGGAGGAGAGGAGCCCCTGGCTCTCAGTGTGGGAACTGGGGGGACCAGCATGGACAGCGCTGCCTGAGCACTGAGCGTGTGAGTACAGCCCGAAAGACGGGGGCCCAAGTGTCCTCCCAATTGTACCCAGGACGGCTCGTCCCCAGAGAGGAAACCGAGTCTCGGAGAGGCTGAGCAGGGCCTCCTCAGGGGGCCAAGACGAAAGGATGGGGTGTTGAGGACACGGTGGGACGGGCCTCATGAGCCCTCTGGGGGCCGCGAGCCCGTATCTGAGGTGCGACCAGGGCCAGCCGAGGACTTTGGACGGGGGTCACACCAGCTGCAGCTTTTAGGCGGCAAGCTAAGAAGAGGCTAGGATCTGGAGGTTCCCAGCATCAGACCGCCCCCCTAGGAAGTGGGCCTGGTGCGGGGGCCTTGCCAGGACGCGCCCCTGCCCCCCAGAACCCACCATGTTGACAATGGCGATGGTGAGCAGGCTGCCGACAGTCAGGACGACCAGGGACAGCCGCAGCAGGGGGTGCGTCTCCACCCTCTCGGAGATGGACCGGAGCATCCCCCGGGCTGGACAGCACCTCTGTGGAAGCAGAGGCAAGTCACCCAGCGCCAGCCCCGGGCAAGGAGGGGAGCCTGCTGGAGTGGAGGCCTTGGCCGGGGCAGGCCACAGCCCAGGGGCCCGCAGACCAGAGCTGCTGGGAGCCTGGCCATGGAGAAGGGTAGGCGCTGTGCCCAGCACAGGAAGAAGGGACACTCCCACCCTTGGGGCTGTGGACAGCCACGGCCGCTTGGGGACACGAGCGGGCCTGGGAAAGCAGAACCCTCAAGAGATGCCCGGGGAGCACTCAGTGACTGTCCTCAAGGCCTGAGGGGCGGGGGCTCAGACGGGCAAAGCTCAGCAGGGAGGGTCTCCAGGGAAGGGGGCTGGCACCTCCACAGTCCCAACCCCTGTGGGGCTGCACGGGTGCCCATTTGGGGCATCCCCACTCACCAGGAACTCGTCGGCAAAGCACAGTCCCAGCACCAGCCCCAGCACACAGGCCACCAGCCCAAAGGACATGCCCAGAGCCGCAGTCCTGGGGAGGAGGGGAAAAAATCTGAGTTCTGGGGGACCACCTGCTCAGGGCAAACCACACAGTGCTCCCCC